AACTTTAACTTTGTTTCGACATCGCCGCTATTGTCTTGAAAATAGTGAATATACAGGGTGGCCCACATGCAACCAAAATCAAATTATTATTGACAGTTACAAACAAAGGGAGCAAAGCGTTCGAAATGGAAACCCTGAGCCTGAGCCTTTACTACACCTTGTTCGTATAACTTTTCGTGTGCGTAACTTTATTCTCAGTTAAGCCAGTTTAGAAGTGATTATCACTCTGCTTCATTTTATTTGCCTAACCTTTTCCAGATCCGTCGCGAATTCCTCATCAGGGACATCAATTGAAAGCAGTAGCAGTAGTCTGCCTTCACAGTCACAAACGACAGTGCGTCGAGTTCATGGCCCAGTGCCACAAAGATGGACTGCTTAACGCGCGATGACAAATAAACGTAGGTTCGTAGTCTAGGCCATCTAGTCGTGGCAATTAGATTGACCTACTGACGACAACTGCAGCAACAGCAGCAAAACCACAAATGATCACCCCATTCTGTGTCCTCAGTCGTCATCCAACCGCCTGTGGACTTCTAGATTGAGCTTCAAAGCGCGGCGTGAAGAGATATTTCGAATGAGGCGTTCTACTCCACGCATATCTTGGCCCATAGTCTTGCAGGTATTTCAAACCAAAACAAGCAGTTAGTAAATACAAACTTCTGTCAGCTTATTTTGTCATTAAAACTCGTGCGTGTGTAAAGGCGTTTCAAAAGATCTAGACTTTTACATATTTATGTCGGCGGTTCCATTCGTCTGAGGGAAATTCAGTTGCACGGAACTTACGAGTTTCATCTGGGTAGCCGAGAGCTTCCTTGCGACACAGAAATGGAGTAAAGTAGAAACGAATGAACGTAGGAGTAGTACAGTAAATCATCGGTTTGGAATACCGGTCATAATGTGTTTCATATCGTGCACAGCAGAATTGTTTCTTTGATATTTTGTTTCCTCAGATGGCTGTTTCAGCAATGTGTCTCCATCTTTGTCCTCCTGCTCAATTGTATTCCCCTGGGGTGGATAATTCGGTGGTATCCTCTGCACCTCAGTAGTGTCTTCCGAACGAAATCGACTGGCCTTGAGACAGACGAGCATGATCCGCTTAGCTTGCTGACGAAAGCGCTTCCCCACAAGACAGTAAAAAATCCAATTTGTACAGGAGTTGATGAAGCAGAAACTGCGACAGAGGTAGTACGCAAATCGGTGGATATCAGGTGGCACGTGGACGCTGCTAAAGTTGCGAAACATGAGAAATGTGAGTAGAGGAAACGTGCTGGCCAGGTAACATATGTTCATGCACACCAGCAAGCGAGTGACCTGGCCTGTATTATCCTTGGCATTGTGCCGAACGCTGTGAGCATCGACTGGTCGTGTACTGCCCGATTTGTTTAACTCGACAGTGCTGCTCCAAATGGAGTCTTGAACTGTACCAGGGCTAACCCGCCGTAGGTTACCCGTAAAGCTATTATAAGCGACTGAAGGTATTGAGGTCCTTGGGGCAGGAACACGTCTCTGCAGTGGGTCCTGTGGTTTCTGTATGAAGAAAGGACTGTTAAGGGTATTCCGTCGGAGTTTCGTCGAGTAAAAAGCTCCACTTGATGTGCTTGTTATCGATGTGCGTGTCAGCCGCCTGGGCCTGCCAACAGTGCTTTCGGAGTTAGCCCATGGCTTTTCTACTGTTTTTAGACCATATTGCCCCGAGAGATTTTTCGCCGCCTGGGTCATATTCCAGCAGATGACAATGGTTGAAATTGTCATACCCATCAGGGGTATGATGCCCCAGATGATGAGATCGTTTAGGGTTGTGACATAGAAGGCGTTGCTGTCAAGCGGATCACAGTCGTTGTTTATCACACGCCAGTAGATGGGGTAAGGAAGCATTGGGAGAAGGAGGAGCAGGGTAATACAGATCCAAATGAGCATATGGTGCCAGGAGACAGAACTCCTGGTTCTCGCTCTCAGCGGTCTGAACACAAAGTAGGCCCTCTGAACAGACAGTGCGCACTG